TATTGTTGCACTTCTGAGCATAACTTTCAAATTTAAAAAATCTATGAAAAGAAAATTTGAGACAAATTTTTTTTTTTAGATTAATAGACTCCCTTTTTAAAGCTGAATTGAATGGTGGCGGGTTTTTTAAAATCCAATGTGTGGATCACATAATATTTCAATATAGATGATCCGCACTGTAATAGGGGGAAGGGGTTAATTAAAGGAAATCATGTGATTTATGGCGTTCCCTAGATATATATCAAAATTGTGCATGTTGTGTAAAATATATAAATTCAAATTATCTCACTGCTTGACACTATTTTTAAAGGTAGAATGGAGGAGAAATTAAATTACTTTTTCCCATATGATGATAATGTAGAAGTATAGAAAGGAGATCTCTTTGGGGGTTTAATTTCAAAACAAATAAATAACTCAAACAATAAATAATTCTGTCATTTGGAATAATAATAATAATTAATAATAATAATTCAGTGATTTATTCATTTATTAGTTTTAAACGTTTATATGTTTTATGGAAAAATGGCATCATTAGGTAGTAAACCAAAAGGAATACTTAAAAAACCATCAGTTAATTTTCAATCAAAACAACCAAGGTAAAGGAACGATTTAATTATTATTATTTTTTTTAGGGAGAAGTTAGAATTAATAATGTTAATAATGTCAATGGTACTAATAATCATTACAATATAATCGTACAAATAGATTAACATGGGATGAAGATAATATTCAATTGACTGAAGGACAAAAAGATTCTACAATGAAAATCACTGAACCAAAGACACCTTATATTCATTACAATCAAGAAACCGATGAAATAATGACAGATCTCGAAAGTAACTTGACATTTTTTTTATAATAAGGAAAAAAAGTTCTATAACATTTACATTATTATTTATTTATTTGTTTATTTATTTTTGGGGCAAAAAATATTTATAGGTTTAGGTTTAGCATTAGGAGGAGGGGGAAGAAGGTCGTCATCTAACAGTATTTCACCTGATGGGTCACTCTTTTCCACGTCTCCCTCATCTGCGCATTTCCCAGATTCAATTAAAGGTGAATGGGATTCTGATACAGAGGAAGATGAAGAAGGTATTATTAATCATCTATCTATTCTTACAAGAACGAAATATTTATGATGTTAATATTAAGTATCATCATCATGATGATAATTCTTTTAATTTATGTTTTGTTTTTTTTTGTTTTTAGCTAGAGAAAAACGTCGTAAATTCGCACAACTTCGATCCAAACATTATAATATGAAAGAGGCACTTAAATTAGGACTTAAATTAGTCGAGAAAGATGTTGACGATGATGAAAAAATCACCACTATAAAAAAAAAAAAAATCACATCTAATAAAGATGACGACGACGACGACGACGATGATGGTGATGATGATGATGATGATGATGATGATGATGATGATGACGAGATGACAGGTGATAAAGGAAAAGAGAAAGAACAAGAGGAGGTTGATGACAACAGTAAGAATATCAATAATAGTAGTAGTGATAGCAATAGTGATAGCAATAGCAATAGCAATAGCAATAGCAATAGTAGTAGTAATGATAATAAAGGTGATTATTATATTAATTCATCGTTAAATGGTGATGAAACTGTTCCGATGGAAACATAAATGCATAAGACTTTTTATTTATTTATTTTTTTTGATATATACATTGATAATTTTGATTGTACAGTTTTACTACTATAATCAGTGTAGTTAGTTATTAAATATTATTTTAACTATTATTAGCAGTTTTTAACTAATATTTATAATAATAAAATAATAATAATTTTTTTAAGACACACGCATACTACGAATCATATGAAGTTTTCGAGACTTGGTTATTCTCGAGAAACCGGGACAATAAATGTTACACATATTAAACTATATTTTGATTAAACTCGGCAAAAGCCTATAAATATATGCTATTTATTATAAATGCGTGTATAATTGATTGGTCGATCAATGATAGCAATTAAATGAATAAACTAAGGAAAAATTTAATCTTTAAGATCTTTTTTTTTGTTATTGATATATAAATTTTTTTTTTATTACTATAATTGAATATGGAAAAAAAAATTTTTTTTTTTAACAATATAATAAAAAAAGCTGTCAAAAATTTTATGGGATTTCAGGCCATGTGTTTATTCTAAAATAAGGAATTTCATATGATTTCATCTTACGTTATTATTTATTAATACATTAAAATATCATTAATGAGTTTTTTTTTTTTAAGAGAAAATTTTTTCAGATTTTCAGTATTTCGACTCGTATAATTATCATCAAACTCTCATAAATATCAAACTCTCATCAAATTCTCAGAATTTATCAAACTCTCACAATTGTTAAAACACTCCATAGTTATTATAATTATTGAACACTCTCTGATAATTATTAATTATTAAACTTGTAGTGTACAAAAAAAAAAAATGGAACAATATTTAAATAACGATTTGCAAAATAATGCTCGAACATATTATCGTAATATTTGTCTTAAAGGTTTTTATATATTCTTTCTTTTTAAAATTAAAAAAAATTCAAATAAATAAATTTCCCAAATTCATCCAACAATTAAATAAAAAAAATTTCCAGTTGCACGTTTTCTATCATATTTGGGTAAATCACTTGAGCCATATTCAACCCAGAATAAATTATTATCATTTCTAACAACACCAACATCAACTTGTGATAAAACAGCAATTCTTCATTTACCAAATGATCTTAAACAAGTTTGTCCAGTTTTTAAATTTGCCGTCACAACTGATAATAAGTATAGAGATGATGGAGATGTAGCTACAAATGATGAGTTATATGTTGCATATGTGGGACCTTATCAAAAAGAACTTAATGATGCTAAAAGATTCTATTCTTATATGAAAAATAATAATATTATTAATAATAATAATAACAGTAATAATAATGGCAATGGTGGTGGCAGTAATAGAAATAATAATACGAGTAACAATATTATTAATAATAATATTAGTGAATATTATTACAATTATTCGAGCAATTTCAATAATTTAGAGAATATACAAGTGCTTGTCAATCTAAAGATAGAGCTAAATTATGTTGATCCATTAAAAGAGTATTTGGTTGTGATATTGGACAAGGAAAATGGAGAAATTTTGGAAATTTTCACTGACAAAGGTAATAATTGATTTGATTATAAGTTGGATATCTTTTTGGATCCTCCGGATTTCTGAGAGAGGAGAAATCAATTATTCTAATTAATAAATATATAATTTTATAGGAGAGGATGATCGTAATATTGAACCAACATTTGAAGATGTGATGGTTTCATGGATGGCGGTTATGATTTGGTGTGGTCAGATTGTAGTCAGGAGTTTGTTAACGTTCAGAAAGCCTATTAATAGATACAGATTATCTCATAAAATTTATAAGTTAATTAAGCAACGTTAAAATTATGTATATATATTATAAAAGCTTTTTGTATATTATTTTTTTTTTTTTTTTATCTCAATAGCAAACTTTATATTTAGGGGCTGATTATCCCTTAATTTATATCACATGATCCAAATGCACATGACCACATGTTTTCCCGCCGATCTCTCCATATCCCCAAGTAATAATAATAACCCCAAGTTTTCGTGTGTGTGTGTATATACTAGTCGCGGGACATTGCAGATCAAGTGTCATTCAATATAAACGTTACACGAAAAAATTTATTGTCGTCCATTTTTCATATAACAAGCAATTTTCGACCATGATAAAATTTTTAGAGCCAGACTGGAACTTTCTAATAACAGTTAAAAGAAAAGGTTAGCTTAAATATTGGTTATTCTACGCTAGGTCAGAAGCGTTTCTTTTCTTCACACTTATTTTAAGATTTTCTTCCAACTAGTATGCAGACTAAAACAAATTCAGCGGCAACAATTGAGCCAAAGTGTTCCCTACAAAGTCACTTATAACTACTTGAAAGGTTGTATTAGAAAAATTATGACTTTAATTATAAGAGACTGATTTATAATTATTTATAGGTTATTAATTTATTATAATATTAATTGATGAAATGAAACTATCATAGCAACACTATAATAGAAATGTTTAAAAGTTAAGTAGCCTATTACTAGCTTGTATATAAAAAACAATCTTGGTTTTTACAAGTACAATCTGTGCTTATTATTAATATTATTTATTAATAAACAAACCTTGGTTTTTACAAGTAAAATCTATGCTTATTATTAATATTATTTATTAATATATTGTTACGCGACCATCTAGATCTTTTATACATCGGAATTAATGAGAGTGACAAACCTTGGTTTTTACAAGTAATAACCTGTGCTTATTATTAATATATGAAATTGTTACACGATCATCTAGATCTTATATACATCGGAATTAATGAGAGTGAATATAACAAACCAACCTATATAGTATAATCTGTACTTATTATTAAATATGTAAATAAAAGTCCTTCTAAATTGTTATACTTGATGAATGTTTTATCAATTATTCATAGTTATATAGCAGTTGATTGAAGTGTTAAAAGCAAGATCTATGAAGCTTCCAAAGTGATATATTACATATATATATATATATATGTATGTATGTATGTATGTATGTATGTATGTATAATTAAAACCATTAATGATCATTAATGAAACTTTAATCAAAAATCAACAAATCTTTCTTTAAATTAACTGACATTTTGTTAATAGCCATCCTTGAAAGACGTCCATTATACAAATTTATTTTTGTTTGAAAATACTAAATAAATATCACCAAGTTAATAAATTTGCTTGATACAACTTTCTAATTCACCATAAAAAAAAATATTGATTTTTTATAATTCAAGGAACAATCTTGGTTAAATCGGGTAGGTTTGTGTATATGAGTGACACTTGATCCCCTGTAAATCCGCAATGTCCTGCGACTGATACAGTTAGACTCCTATATAATCACATCCTATATAGTCACAACATAGTATAGTCACATTTTTTGTCAATTTGAAAAATTCCCTGCTACTAATAATTAGTCATAGTAAAAAAATGTCCTGTATAGTCACGAACACTTATAAAATTTAGATCTGACACATACTAAAATATGTACAGGTTAGCACTATTGTATAGACATTGGGAAAATGACAATGTCAACCAGTAATTAATTTTACATATATAAAATTGCATAAATTAATTTTTTTAATACGAAAAGGATCTGCACGATTAGGAAATTCCAAATTTGGAAAAAAAAGTTTTTTTAGCCTTTTTATTCATTCGCACATTCATTCATTCACTCATCGAGAAACAATATTTAAAAATCGATCTATAAGGTCATAAATAGAAAATCGTAAAAGAGGAAAAAATATGTGAATGAGTGGATGATGATGATGATGATGATGATGATGATGATGCATGTCACTATAACTATAGATCTTTTACTGCCGGCGTAATTGAAATTTTTTTACCATCACCATAATAAGTCTTTTACCATCACCATAGTTGCAAATGTTTTAGTATTACCATAAGCGTAATCTTTTGCTTCCCAGTATGCGTAAATATAATTATTTAATTATTATTTAGGAAAAATTAAAAATTGTCTGAATTTAACGATATATTTTCTAAATTCGATTTTTTTTTTTTGTCATAATGAAAATGAAACAAATGAAGCGAAAACTATATGATCTATTGTAAATTTCCAAAATTTGTTTTTTTTTTTGTGAAAGAGAAAAGACAAGCCAAGTAAACAAACAAACAAACAAACAAGCGAGGAACAGAACACACCATCCAATCTGTTTCTATTGCTCATAGAAAAATAATAAATAATAATAATAGAGTATGCAAGATTATTATTTAAAAGATTTTATAATAATAGTAATAATAATAATAATAATAATAATAATAAATATAGGATTTCGACGAGCTTGTAAAAAATATTAAGCTATAGCAGAAATTAAACTATAAATACAGGCTATATTTATAGTCGTAGATTAATAATATTAACATTGATGATATATATATACGTACGGAAATTCCGAAACTTTAAATTTTTTAACAAGGCAGAGTTATAATTAATATGGAATTGGCATTGTGTGTTAGAAGTAGTTTTAAAGTACACCAAAAATAGCACTGAAACCATTGTTCTAACTTTAAAGTTTGATATTTATAAAAATAGTATAAATAAATATCATGCAAAATATTATAAATACAAAATGAATGAAAACAAATTGAATTTTATTAAAAAAACAGTTTGATAACGACGATTTTGCCGGTGTTGCAAGGCGTTTGTATTACATAAATGACAAAAATCAAATTTCCCGTTTAAGTTTTCAACCTTATTAGTTGAATGTCTATAATAATAATAGAAATGATAGTGTGTTTATTTTTTTTTCTCAAATATTGTTTTTTTGATTGATAAACAAATAATAATAAATAAATAATAAATAATAATAGTAATATTAATAATAATAGTAATATTAATAATACAATATACCAGTAATATTGCGTTAACATATGAAAATATCATTGATTGAAGATGATGGATGGTGAATGGATCGATATGTATGTGTATGGATTTTCCACCAGTAATTATGCACGGATTTATATGATTATATGCAGGTGAAGTTTCTTTAGTTCGACGCAAACTTTAAGGAAACATAAAAATAGAAGATTTGAAGGACGTATTAGATTAAATTTTCTAAAAAAGATAAATAATAATAATATTCGGAAAGTAGATGATTGCAAAGATGACGTCCAAGTGAATTCACAAATGTCCATTGCTATCTATCAAGTATCTCCATCCATCCATCCATCCATCCATCAATATCTATCTAAAGAACTTGTCCAATCAGGAATAGGATGATGTGTATTTTCGTGTGATAGTATTTTGTAAGAGTGGAAAAATGGAGAGTAGGAAATTCCTATAATCCACTATGAGTGTCTGATTGTCTCACAAGACTTGTTGTATTCAATTCGGATAAATAAATAAAAAATAAGTTTTTTTTCCCATGTTAATTAATTTAATTAATAGTTAATAAAATGTTTTGACTTGTTATCAAATTGACAAGATTGCAACCTTAATTCTCATTGATATGATTGATTAGGGAAGGAAAGGTTCAAGTTGAAAGAATTAAAAACTCAAGCCAAATTCCCAATTGATACAAAAAAAGGCATTTGGCCACATACTAAATTGTTGCAGATTATTGCCAAATCTAGACATTTTATTCTAATAATGAAATTATGAAAAAGAGGGAAAACTTAAAAAAAAAAAAAAAAAAAAAAAAAAAATACAAAAAAAAAAATAAAGTTTTTTTTTTTTTTGATGTCCATCGTGTTACAATTATACGATGATATTATTCCACCATTCTTATCACTTTTCGCTAACCTTTCTAATTTTTATCGTGGCACTAATAAAAGATAACAATTTTTGACATTAATACTAATTCCGGGTTGTATATCTACCGAAAGAATTATTTTCTTTTGAGATGTGTTTCTTTTTTAGGATGTTTATTAACGTATACAACTAGTTTAAATCAGGTAAATAATTTTTTGAAGTGCTGTTTTAATGTTTGGAAAATCGGAGTTTTATAAACTTGACTATACGGCCGATACTATCATAATCATCATACTATAATTGATTGTATATGATTGCTACAATGATTTTCTAAAGAAGAGATAAAAATGACAACGAAGGAATAATTTTTCCAGACAATAACAATCTAAAAAAATTAAAATGGACGATATAAATAATAATTAAAGTTTTCGATTAACATAAAAAAGAAAGTATTTTTTTCCTTGTGTCAATGAAAATCATCGAACTGGATTTGTGTCAAGTTCTGTTATCTCACACATGCACACACACACACGCGCACATACACAATATCATCATTGTAATGATGATATTCGAGAAGAAGAATCACAACTTTTTAAAAAATATAGTTTTTTTTTATTTTCCACATCTTTAATATTTTGTTACGCCATCAAAAAAAATTAAAAATTAAAACGTGAAAATTAGCAAACATGACGCGTCCATTAAATCGATAATTAAATTGGGTAATCGAGAGAGAAAAAAAGAAAAGAGGGTTGAGTGGCGCGAGGGTGAAAGAGGGTTGGGTGGTGAGATATGCATTAGCATATACGTCAATATCTATTTATTAAAATGGAAAATTTTAAAAATAAAATAAAGAATTGGGAATAAATTTTTGTTGCATTATCTGATGACATCAGTGATACATAATAGAGAAAAAAATTTCATTCATTCATTTCTTGTGCATGTGTGATAATTGAAACCCTTTTCTCTAGAATTATCACTTTACATTAATCGTTTAATCACATTTGAAAAAATATTAGATATTTGCAATTTTTCTCGTATTTAATTTTAATTTTGATAGTAAAAATAACGAACAGCGATGATATGATGGAATGTGATCGGTCAGATAGGCGATAGTTTCTTGTCTATTA